TGGGATTTCTCATTTCTAGGATGGCTGAGAGACCCAGCTGACACTCATGGGGCATTTTTATTCTCATTCTATGCCATCTCTCCTGAGCTACCCAGACATCTATTTCTTATATTAGGGCTCTGATTAATAATTTAAGATTGATATGCTTTCCAACTTATGAATGTCCTTAGTAAGCTTCTTTGAAGAAGATGTTTTTCTATTCCCTAAATAGTTGTTTTATTTTTGCTCTTTTAAAAACCATTTTTCCCTATGTCTAATTTCTTTTAATGCTAAGAAAATGTGGTTTGTATGTTTTATTTTTTACCTTTTGAAAGAGATTTACTCTTTAAAAGCCCTATATATGATTAATTATTGTTATAATTTCATGGATGTTTGAGAAAAATACAATAAAAAATGTTCTCTGTAAAGATGAAGTCTGACATATATTTTGTATACTCTTTATTTTGCATAGAGTATTGTTCAAATGCTGTCTTTACTTTTCTGTACTAAATTTATCCGAGACTGTGATGCTTTCTAAAAATTTCCCCTTCCTAGTATAATTATTTTTCTCCTTCTGCAGTTTTGTGTTATATATTTCAATCCCATGTTATTTGATTCTTAAGATTTATGAGTTTTATATGTTTGTTGTGAATTGTGCCCTTTATCAAAATAAGATTTTTAAATCCCATTTAATGCACTTGATCTTGAATATGACTTTGTCATATATTACTATTGCCATTCCTGCTTTAATTTATGTTTGTTTATCCTCTTAGTTTCAATATTTCTCCTTTACAAYGTTTGAGTAGAGGCAAACAAAATGAAGAGGTAATTTAGAAGTGTTTCTCATTCAAACCATGTATTTCAAAAAAAAAAACCATCTCTCATGTACAACATGCATGAGAATTTTAGAAAAAGTAATGTGAGGATTTCTGTCATTTAATCAGACTGATTAACTTATTTATACTTAGAACAGTTTTTATTGTTATGTCTGTCATTTTGGTTTTGTGCCTGGATTTTTTCTATGGCTCATTGCTGTTTTTTCTTTCTTTCTTCTTCTTTTTTTTAAAATGCAATGTGGACCATATTTTCTCTGAGTTTTCCCCTCAGCATTTATAATTCTACTAGCACTTCCCCTTTAATTATTAAAAATAATGCATTCGAACTAATAATTCCCCACCAACAGTAACAGCTTACATACATTGAGTGTTTCTTAGGTGACAGGCTTTTTTCAGATACGTTATAAAGCTAAACTTTAACAACCACTGCATGAGGTAGGCCATGGCATTTTTATGCACATTTTAAAGATTAGAAAACCAATTCACAGAGAGTTAAGTACAGAATTTCCATAGCTTTCCCAGAATGCACCGCCAGAGTGTAACCCAGGCACTCTGACTTGGCCCCTGCCCTCTTACCTGCCCTCTTGCTCTAACCCATTTTTAAGAACTAGATATTTTTGTGTCCCTGTAAGTTGAAAATCTAGTATTTTGTTTTAATCTATTCTCCCCTCATATGCCTCCTTTTAATTTCATTTTTTATAACAAATGATGAAATCAGATTTTACTGATATGTGGTTTCTTCCCAAAACAATACTTGTTTGTATTTATTTAGTAACCATGTTTTAGATAGTCATTTAGACTTAACTTGTTTAACTGAACTTTTATTATTGTCTTTTGTATTGTTCTTTAGTTTGATTTTGAGGCAGCTGAATTATGTTTCCACAACAATGTTGTCAGTAAAGATAAGGTCACATTTTTTTCTCAGCTCTTGCTTATCTGAGCATGTGTGCTACATTTGCTCATGTGCAAACTTTGCCTAGGTATAGGCTTATTGGGTTATAATCTTTTCTACTTTCTAACCCTAAGAGGTATACAATTTCCCCTGCCATATATGATTGCAGAAGGAAGTATGACCCAAGAATGATATTTTGTTCGTATAGATATATCTACAATATGTTTATTTACACACACACACACACACACACACACACACACACAGGCTCATACATGGAAATGCATGCTCTTTAAAAAGTAATCTGAATTGTAGGGGGCAAGCCCTATTCTGCTCAGTGAGGAGAGTTGGTTTAGATTGCCAATCATACATACAAGAGTGGGCTGTATCCAGAACCAAATTCACCCATAAGAAAGAACACAGGGAAGGACTTTGGGCTTCCAAGCACAGCGTCTTTCATGATGGAACTATGTGTACATGAGATGATGCTGAGTATGTACCATCTTAGCCTAGGAAAGCCATCAACAGGTGGCTAGTGCACGTACAWCTTGTCAATACCTGGTATTTTTTACTCGATAAACAACCACAATAATGTTCAAAGAGCAGATATAAGGGCCTTAGCTGAATTCTCATTTATCTTGAACCTAGGATGGATGTTCTCCTTACAATTTATTTATTTAGTATTGTGTCCAGTGCTGGGCCTCTGAATTTTCACCAGAGCAACCTGTTTATAAGGCAGAGTTTATGGGTTATGTTGATGTGGTAGGTAGAATAATGACCCTCTAGGTATGTTCAAATCCTAATCTCCAGGGCCTGTCAAGATGTTATTTCACATGGTAATGGGACCTGCAGATGTGATTAGGGACTTGGAGATAGGGAGATGATGCTGAATTCTTAGGTTAGGCTCAGTGTCATCATAAGGATCCTTGTAAATGAGAAAAGAGAGCCAGAGAAGATCTGATGCATTGAAGCAGAGGTTGGCAGGATGCAGATTCTGGCTCTGATGGTGGGGGAAGTCCCTGTGAGTTTAAAGATGCAGGTGACCTTTAGGAGCTGGAAAAAGCAAGGGAAAGGATTCTCCTCTAGATTCTCTGGAAGGGACACAACCCTCCTTACTCCTCAGATTAACCCAGTGAGACCTATGTTGGACTTCTGACCTCTAGAATTATAGGTTAATGAAATCTGTGTTATCTCGACCACAAAATTTATGGTAATTTGGTTAGCAATAGTAGGAAACTGATATATTTACCAAGGAAGAAAGAAAATTGATGGAGTCTTCATAGTATCTCAAGGAGGAAGGACGAAATCAGGATATTTATTGAAACATTAAAGTCTGAGTTAGAGGCAGGTATTTTAAGGTAGGGGTTCCATTAGGATTGGTTCARGAGCATGGTATAATGGGATTAGATTGTAAGGCAAGGGTTTTGAGGAGGGTGTTCAGAGTCTTGAGTCGAAGGTGGATTGGAGCTTTCTGCTGAAGAGTTGATGGGATGGAATAACCATTTATTTGTAATTTCTGTTTTCCTGGACGGGAGTTTACTGCAATAGTCCAGTTGTGTGGAAGAAGGCAGGGCAATAATAACTAAACCACCAGCTTGGTCAATTGCAAGGAGGCTCTGATTTYGAGTCAAATTTTCAAGTTTCCCAAGGATAGAGGAAAGGCCACAGAATCTTCTGCTATTTTTTTCTTTCCTTGGCACTTTTTCTTTTTCCTTGGAACTTGACTATTCGGTGGAGTGTAAATAGGTTTTACACCTACTCAAATGCTGGGATTTTTTACTTAAGACATTCTTTTTCTTGTTCCTGGTATATCAGGTGTATTCGCTCTCTCTTGCTGCTGTAACCATTGGTCAAAAACTTTAGTTGCTTAAATAATATAAACATATATTTAAGTCTGACAACTCTTTAGAAATTTGACACAAGTCTCACTGGACAACGATCAAGGTGTGGGGTGGTATTCCTTCTGGTGGCTCTGGTGGTGGATCCACTTCCTTGTCTTTTCCAAATTCTAGAAGCACTCGACACCAGCAGTGGCAGTCTGAGTCCTTTCTTCCTGCCATCTGCTTGGTTCTCTGCATCCAGGAAAGGGTCTCTGCTTTTAATCTGTTGTGAACAGATTGGCCCCACCTGGGTAATGTAGGATGCTCTCCCTATCTCAAGTAGACCTTCATCGGAAAGTCTCTGAATCCATATAGGTAACATATTCACGACTCTGAAGATGAGAGCATGGATATCTTTGGGGCATATGGTTCAGCCACCACCTCTGCAGTAAATTCTTCCCACTTGTAAACACCTCAACTACCTTTTGGGGGACTACTCCCCTCTTAAAAATATACTTATGAATATTTTATAAATGTTTTCTTAAGACTGACATGCATATTTACTTCATTTATCCACCAGGCTTGTTAGTTGTCAAGGATCAGGGTGGATGGTTTCTCCTTGACCCTATTAATACCAACCTGGTGGAGTGAAAATTTCAGATCTTTGGGTGGGAGGGTAATTTCTGTGCTCTGATGTTCTTGTGCTGTGAAGAATGGCAGCACCTTCTCTGTTGACTGAAGTTAGTGTAACCAGACAGGGTATGCAGAAGGCTGGGGGAAATCCCTACCCTGTCTGTGTATGATTAATCCCTCTGTTTTGTTACTGAAAATATTTTTAGAGGTCTTACGGATCTTAATCAGGTGTCCCGATTTCAATGGCTAGTCTATTTTCATATCATTCTGTGTTTTAATAAGTACTTAAATGGGGAGGCTTGGTGGGATACGTCAGTTGTTACTCTTTGGTTATTCTGTGAGCTTAGCCATCACCTGGAATTGACTGCTTGTAATTTTCCTTCAATATGGTCATAAATCTTCTTCAGTGCTTAGTCCCYTTACACTGTGTGCACACTGAAGTCTCATCTCACACTTCCCAGTGCTCTGGGTGTGCTCTGTCTTTATGGTACCCACCACACTCTTCACATGTGATGGGGACAGGAAGGGTGCTTTATGTCCTTTCTGGGCAACATAAAGTTTCCCAACATAAAGTTTCACGGAAACTTTCAGTGCAATTTGAAAACAGATCTTCCATTATGCAGACACATGCCGGAAAGATGCTTCTCTTCAGCTTCATTAGGACTCTCCTAGATAGTAAGAACAGCCTCTTTTCAATCACTCCATGCCCGCTATCTACTGGATCAATTGGGTCAATAAAAATACTTGTAAACTCTAAGGATTTAATAAACATTATCTGTTGCTATGACTGTTATTACCAATATATTAATAATGTACATGCTTGTTTTATTTCTGCTTCAGACTCACCTCGACATCTTGGAAAAAAGTATCAACCCTAGGCAAGTCTACTTCCGGCAGGAGGTTCTCTGCCACACTCTGGGAGGGAACCCATGTCCATTGGTGACCATCACAGCCATGCCAGAGTCCAGCAGCACTGACCATCTGGAGCAGTTCCGTGAGTAAAACGAGAACTCTCTTCTTGGACAATTGGGCTAGCAGTGTCTTCTGCAGTTCTGGGACCACTCCACAAACGGACAGGGACTTTTCTSTCTTTATAAAAATACACTCCCAGTGTTTTTGGTGTGACATAAAGGGTAAATATTAACGTCACTCTGTTGTTAAAGAGAGTGAAAATGAATTACCAACTGTCCAGGAGATGAAATGACTTGCTAGGATAGAGAGCAGATTCGTAATGACAGTCACTTCCTTTCTGAAAACAGAACCAGGATGTTTTCCAATTTCTAATCCAGGGACTTTTCTGAAGCTGAGTTTCTGAGCCCTGGCTGAAAAATCCCTTTGAGAACCCATATACCTTGGTCTGACAGGCTGAGAGTGTGAGGGAGGCTCTAGCCGAGAACCATCAGACCAAACCAAACACAGAGACACACTCACAGACAGACAGACAGACACACACACACACACAGAAACAGAATATATGAACACACTGACACAGATAAACAGACACACACAGATACACAATGCCCTTTCAATATGCGAGTCGTGATTATGTGGCTGACTTGTGATCAACACGCTTTTGAAAACGGCTTCTGATGTAGCTCCAGACTTAGGAAGGCAAGAAAAACCAAACAGAATGAAGAATGCTTTGCAATACAAAGAAGTCTGGGAKATGGAAGAGAAGACTGGAGAATAAAACCCAGCTAATTTATCCCCAGAAGATAACTCCTTACCTGATGAAGTGCTAATGGCCTTCAGGTGACTCTTTGGTGGCTACAGAATGTAATTTCTCACACCCCATCACACCTGACAATGATGCTTAACAACCTGGCTAATCAACAACTGATTATCCCATCTGAATTAATGAGGCCCTAACATGGTTTAATGAATAATAAGGGGTTTTTCAAAACTTATGTGTTCTATGCATTTAAGAACAATTTCTCTAATGGTCATAGGGTCTTCCACTTGGCAGATGAACTGTACTAGGGGCTGAGAGACAGTAATTCTTCTGGAAAAATCTTCACTGAATATTTTTTTTTATTTAAGAAATTGGTTGCATATAAGTCTGTGCTTTGCAAGCTCCATTTCTAAGGGGAGGAGAGTTGGAACCCCATTGTGTAATTATAACATGGGGGTGCTTTTGTATTTACAGGTTGGTTTATGTGGACATGGGTACTTTTGTTGATGTTATAACCAAAGAGATCATTCTTACTTTGAGGAGAGGACTTGAAACAGTGAAGTTCCCTACAAAATGGTTCCTAGGAAACAGTTAAGCTAAAAAAAAAAAGAGACAGAGAAGTGTTGTCTTAGTACATTCTTATATGAATCAAAGGAGTCTGGTTTCTAGTTGCTGTCTATATGATTCATTGTAATAAACATACATTTTCAAGTGGGATTATAATTTTTCCCTCTTAAACACATGCTAATATTGTAGCCATTGTTAATCTCCAGAGGTATTGGGGGCAGGGATAGGATAATGCTTATGATGGTCAGAGGAACGCTGTTTCTTTGCTTTTTTGTCAATTGCAAGAAATGATCATTGAGCAAGAGCTTGAGGGATCCAGAGCTTTGACTGTAGTGAAAGGAATAGTTAGGTTGTCTTCATGGCCTTGCTAGCCCTATGTTGCACAAGCCCCCTGCTTAGAGGAGCCATGCGCTTTGTTAGACATTCTATTACCATCTTGACATTCTTTAAAGAGTTTTGACTAGGTATGTGCAGTAACAAGGGTGGGACTGGAGGACTTTATGTGAAGTGGAATAAATCAGTTTCAGAAAGATAAATATTGTACAAACTCACTTATTTGTGGAAATAGTGGATAACAGTGGATCTCATAGAAATAGAGATTAGAGTAGTAGTTACCAGGGGCTGGAAAGGGTGGTAGGGGTGGGGATGGGGAGGGAGAGAGGGAGAATGGTTAGTGGGTACAGGGGTACAATTGGATAGGAGGAATAACTTTCAATGTTTTATAGCATGGTAAGTAACTATAGTTGACAATAATTAATTATATATTTTAAAATATCCAGTGAGAGGATTTTGAATGTTTCTAACAAAAAAATGATAAATGTTTCAGGTGACAGATTGCCAATWACCCTGATCTGATCTTTGCATATCATATACATGTATTTAAATCTCACATAGTACTCTGTAAATATGTGCCAATTAAAATTTCTAAAAAATATGAAAAAATTGAAGAAAGAGTTTCAAATTTTAAAAAAAATGAAGTTTTGACAAGAAACCTTGCATTTTCACTGGGTAGTGAATCCTGTAAATTGTAGAATTGGTCCTGGGAGAGATCAAAAGTCAAACAGCTAAAACATGACAAAGTCTGGGTATCTATACAACCATCCTTTCTCCAAATCATAGAAGAGTTCTGAACTCTTTAGTCAATTTAGTGAAAATATTATTTGTGTGGGCTATGTGACTCATTGGTATCTGTTATGGTGATTAATTTCAGGAACCCCCATTTTACAGATAGGGCAAGAGGGGTTCAGGAAAGCTAACTACCATGATCGATGGTGGTGCCAGATTTTAGACCTTGTTTTTCTGATTCCAGTGTGTATGCACACAGCAAATGTGCTGAGTTCATCCTCATGCTCTGATTCAACATTCTGGCCTCAGCTGGTAAGCCAGCACTTCCTCTCTTCCCTGTTCTGCCTTCAAATTAGAGGGTAGGGTAGTTGTTTAAACAGCTCATGTTAAGCATAGCACAAAAATCCTAGTCTCTTGCAGCTCACAGTGAATTTTGCTTTCTTACCTAATAGAAGCGTTTTCATGGTGGTGTTTCTGGCAGTATGTCAGGAATGAGGAGAGAAGGTTCTCTGGGCCCAGCCTGAGATTCAAGAGCTGAAAATTGCACAGCTGRCCTGGGCCCCCCGGGGATGCTGGGAACAAAGTCTCAGGCCTTAATAACAAAATTTTAGGGAGGTACACAATATGTACATGAACACCTGCCATTGCTGAGTTAAAAAAAAATTGAAAAGGAACCTAGAACAATATAAACACCATGCCTGTAATTCAGATATAAAACCACTTGACTTCCTTTGAACCATGGAATGTGAAGTATTGATTTAGTAAGAGAACACAGCAAATAAGCCCTCAGCTCAAGATTTCTCTGCCTCAGGCCTCCCTCCAGGTGAGCTTAAATTGTCTTACCTGCTTGCTGCCTCCCAGGGACCAGGTCAGCTTCTGCTAGGAGTAGGGTTGTTTGGCTGTGATTTGTCCAGCTTCTGGTTCAGTGGCTGCCACTCACCCCTCATAAAGAGGGATTTGTGTACTGAAAGACTTTCTTTCCCCTGTGTAGGATTACCACTTGAGTCCTATTTTAGAAACCCAAGAAATAAGAACATGGCTATGGGACCCATGGGGGAACTCTCCTGCTCAAGGTTGGCTCCCCTGGTGGTTTGGTCTTAAGTCCCAGACCTGGAGATAAATTGAGGACAATTTATTGATTACTCTTATTCCTTTCTGGGGTCTGGACTCCAGAGAGTCTCCCAGAAACATTTATTTGGTTTGATTTATTTTTCAGGAGCATTTTCTTTTCTTTTTTAAGTTATTTTCTTGMAAACATTTAGCCTTGCTTTCTTGATAAATTTATTTTCAGTTCAGTAGCTACTGGACTTGCCGGCTATGTACTTCATCACTGCCCTGAGAATTGAGGACAATGCCTTCTTGCAGCGCTCCCGAGAGAGAAGGCTCACTACGTTATACCTAGAGATTTCAGCCCTCAGAAACAGAATGCTGGCAGATCTGCAAGAGACACATGACTTCTGCCCTTTTCAGTGGGACGGTGAACAGGAAATTCTGGGAGAATATCACCGAACCATTGTGGAAGATACAGGCTTGAGAAGAAATTGATGATGAAAGGGAGTCTTTAGAAGGGGTTATAGTTCAGCCAATGTCAGAGACAGTGATGGACAAGGTGTTGGGGAATCAGGAAGCCCAGGTCCTCCCTAACTGGCAAAATTTGGTATGCCAAAGGAGCCCAGGATGTTTGAGATTTGCATTATCAGAGAGCAAACAAGAAGGAGCAAACAGAATCTAACAGAATGGGACAATGGCTCCATCAAGTTGTGACAGAAGACATGCCAGGTGCAAGTTTGGAGATAAGATTTGGTTGGCAAGATCAACCCAGGACATTGTTTTCAATGCTTTCTGAGACTAGTCCACATTGGTTAATGGTATGCTGGCATGATTACACAGTCTAGTATAATCTTTTAACACATTATATGTTCTTCGATACTCTGATTAGCAGACCCTTTGCATATACAACTTCCAGCTAGAAATTGGAAACCTTTAGTTTGAATACTTCTCAGAAATTGTGTGTGTGTGTTTGTGTGTGTGTGTGTGTGTGTGTGTGTGTGTGTGTGGTTTCTACTTTCCTGAATTTGAACCAAGAGAAGATGCTAAATTTAAACAACTGAAGATCCAGTCAGAGTAAAGAAAGCCTGGGGGTGAGGGTGGAGGTCCTTATTTACCCAATCCTGGAAAGGCGAGTGCTATGTTTTCCCAAGACTCAGCCATTCCCCAAACCATTTCTGCCTTCTTCCTTTTCTCACACAGAATGTGCTGCCTTGTGTGGAAATTCCTGACCTTTGGAACTCCCTCTACTTCTTGTCTTTATCTCCATTTTGCAGATGGCCCCTCACTGAAGGCAGATATCCATCTGTGGGCCAGGAGGGCAGTAAGTAGTCATTGAAGGAGACTCCAGGTCTCTATCCCACTTTCCCAATTACCCTGCCTCCTAGGCACTGCTTTCACTGAATATTTCCCTAGAAATACACTTTCTCGCAGCACACTACCTGTTGAGGTCTTCCATCATTTTGTTAACTTTTCCATCTTCTCCACATTTTCCCTATGAAGTCATATTCTAAATGACCGTTTCTACTCAGCAAAAAACTGAATCCCATTTTAGTTGGAAGACCTGCATCTCTGTTATGGATGCTTCATTTCTTTTTTTCTCAAGAGTTTTCTTTYCCCCCCCTCTATGTTGGACATCTATA